TTAGACTTTGAATAAGTCGAGTTGTGGACATTGAGAGCGAGACTCTTTTGAGATATCCATTTCTGTTCGTCTAATGCAAGCTAATTAAGATTGAGAGCGCTAAGATAAAAAGCAAGAAAAAGCCGTTCAATATGTAAATTAGCTGAATGCCTTGAATGGCTATAGGTGACACTAAAAGTTAACCTTTATGGGGAACAAATACGGGATTGGTAGATTTGTCGGGTTTCGTACGATGCTACTAGGAAACTAGTTTTACGTTTAATTTCTAGAATTTGTTCATTTTCGTTTCGAAGTGCTCGAGTAATCTAATCAGTGAAATGTTGTGTAGAGGAGGAAGTTTAATTGGCTGTTGCTTGATGTTTTGTTTCGTGATTGTTCGTGTTGTTTTGTTGTTGTTAGTTTTATTCATCATGCTTTGTTATTTTTGTTGTTTTGATTTGTTGTTAATTTGTGGTCGTTCTTAGATGTTATTGTTTTGTTTAAGTTTATTGTGCGTGCTTCCATTAGCGTATACTCACTCTGTTGAATATTGTGTTTTTGATGCTGTTGCGCTGCGGATAGTAGAGAGAAGCACTGTTCGGTATAATTCGGCTGCGTTTCGGAGATGAGACAGAATCGTAATGTTCTTTCAGGACCCAAAGGAACCATCGGGACAGATTGAGCATCATTGGGTGAGGTCAAGCTCAACGTTAGGGGGCTTAGACTTACGTTTAGGCGGAGATTGGACCGAATTTCAAAATATGAAAGTGCCGCAGCGCGACAACTGAATAAATGTTTTTTTACGTGTTGCCGCAAAATATATCCACATTAGGACGGAAGAGTCGGCGAAGAGTCGACACTATCCGTCTATTTCAGTGCTTTAACAGTTGTAGTGGCAAGTAACGGTGAGATTTGAGGATAACGGTGAGGACTGAGGATTTGAGGCGGTTGAGTTCAGAGGAATTTAGCTGCGATACGGTATTCGCTATTGCCACGTTACAATATCGGGAGCAAGCCAGTCTTTGCAATGTGCTGTTTAAATGCCAGTGGATCCACTACGTAAATCCTTGGACACTGATACAGCTGCATGAGTATTCAGAAGTACAGACAGGTGACGTGGTGTCTTGACTATCGGCATACTATCAGGATATCAATTGAGTAAAGGGTTATGTGGTTATATGTGGACGGATCATCGAATTGGTTGTGTTAGGAGAAATGGATTAGCATGCTCCGGAAAATTGAAAATATGGGGTATGGAGTTGTAGTGTATGTACTCCACTGTCCTATTCATTCACGTAGCATTCCTCTGATCGCTCTCATGCCTTGTAGAGGAGGCAAAACTTGAGTCAAGCTTCATTAAGCATTAGATTGACTTCGCCTCAAACTACTTTTGAGTTGAATCGGAATGATTCCAGCTGAATGGATTCGATTTCGTTTTCAAGATGTTCTTTCAGAATTTGTTCATGTTATGCTATTTCGGATTGTGCGATTGGATATGGACATCGAAATCTCATATGTATGTGAATATTTGTTTGACTGTTCTATTGCTGTTGTTGTCGTTACTTATGTGATTATTTCGCGTTGTTGTCTGTGTGGCTGTTTTGTGTTTTCGTGCGTTGATTACCGTATTTACCCTCTCGTTCATCATTATCGTGTTTTTGAAGCTGTCACGCCGGGCATAATGAAGGGAAATATTGCTAGTTATGGTTTGGTGGCTTTCCATGAGCGAGATGGAATCGCAAAGTGAGTAGGAAGCCCGCATAAACCATCCAGACACAATTCGATATCAGAGGCTAGGGTCAGGCTCAAGTTTGAAGCTTTTGCCTGTACTTGGGATGAGGATAAATTTGAAAATATCAATGGTGCGTGCCGTGACAGCTGTATAAATGTTTTCCCACGTGTTGCAACACATTACACCGAAATCACTTAAAAGGGTCCAGGAGCAGCCAGTATCTTCTGTGGCTTCAGTTAGTTTAGGATTGTCATGATGGCAGCTAGAGAGCTAGTGTAGTTTTGTGCCAGTAAGTTTGCAGGAAATGCGAGAAAATTGTCAATGATATAAGTAAGGTTTTGTTACAGCTGAAAGTGCAGAAAAGTATAGAATAGACAAAATGACATTCGTGACGTGGGTCCGCAATACGCTGACCGTCTAACCAGCACTCGCCGCCATGCAATATTGTTACCAACAGCATAACTGAACTTATTCAATTCACATGCTAACGTAAAAAAACAAACTCAAGTTTAGGCTCAGTTTGGGGGTTGTTGTATAAAAAAGATTTGAGAATAAGATGAGAAGTTAAAAAAGAGTGTCTGCTGAAAACAGAGTTGGAAATTATTTGGTGACGGTCGGTTTTTCCTCTGGAAAATCCAGATTTACATAAATGAATGCTGGTCGGAATGTTGGAGGGAGTGATAGCTTTCGGCAGTTGTAGTATACAGCATAAAGCGGATTCAATCAGGTACTAATAAGCAATACACAAATCGCAAACAAGTGACAATGATCTGTGCGAAGCCGCTTCATCAGGGCGATCGATCTATTAGCGTTGCGCCGTTGTGAAAAATGAGAGATTGCTGGCGATTTGTGGAGCAAGTTCTTTATTTTTTCATTATATAATACACTTTCTACTACTTCAGAATGCGTTTATGCATGCATATTTAAATTTTTTATGTATATTTGCATATAGTTCATATCAATTCATAACAAAAACAACAACGACTCGTATGAATAAAGTAATAAATTAACAAACAAAAAAGGAAAAAATTAAAGTTCAAGGAGTTCAGAAATTTCACAGCTTGTAACTAAGTCGACGGAACAAAAACGAATTGATTTCTTTGCCTAAGCAATCGTTTATACATCCACCGTTATACACAAATTGAAAACATTACTTTCTTCAATCACCCATTCTGGACCACCAAGAAAACTCTTCCTTGTATATTCAGTTTTTTGATACACCGGTTTTTTTTCTCGAATACTTGCGATTCGTTGTGCATTATACGAATGATTGTATCAGTAACTTTCTCTTACAATGACATCGATGGATTGATTATGATTATTGGACGGATTTTCTAGCTAGATGCGTTTTTTAAGCGTTCAGCTTCGGGATACGTTAAAAAGAACGCCACTTCAAGAATAAAAACATGCGCTACTCACACATTTCGTTTATCATCTACATTCTTCTGAGGAGAATTTTGCTTTGAATTTCAAACTCGCTTGATCACTCATGACTGATCAATTATAAATGAACAAGATCTTTGGAATGAACGAACTCAGTCAAACTGAAACTTTGACAACAAAAAAGGTGCTTCATGAATGACAACAGCTAGGCTCTCATAAGTGAATACAACTAAAATATTTCTATCTATTAGGCAAATAGCGACATGGTACTTCAAAATCGCTAATCATTTGTATGCGATAAAAAATTGCTATAATTAAGACTATAATATTTGGATCAATCAATTCATCCCTCAGGTTCTTCGAGTAGCCTACGCTCCTCTTCCAGCCGCATTCTTTTGATGGCCTCATGCCGCCATGGTATATTGTGCTCTTTCATGAACGTCTGCAGTTGACTTTCATATAATTTTTCGTCTTTTAATCCTTTTTCATAATCTTTTTTGAAGATGTTATATGCTTCATTCACACTTTTATCCATGTGCATCGCGTACAGCACCACAACTGCTGATAACGACAATCTAAATAATCATCATTATTTTGTGACGAATCCCATTGTGAACATCGTCATCGTCAACAGCATAAATTCAACAATATAGAATGAAGCTGGGTCAAGAACGATAATCAGAGCGGGATACTATAGCATTTGGGCCCAGCCTCATGCCTGATAACCATTTATTTGTTTAGTAGATACCATAACACGATGTCCTGCTATGATTGTCGCCACTCAGCTTGGTCGGGATGAATTTAAAAAACAAAACTGACCCGGATGAAATACCGAGGCCAACAGCCTTCATCGAACCGAGTAGACCAAGCGGGAAAGCAAGCACTGATCCAACTGAGGCTGAAAATAGTATCTGGAGTCAACAGAGTTCACTCACTTACCTCTATGCAGTAGAAACGCGTTCGCACCTGAAACAACCGGAAAGTACCATGCCGAGAAGTGTTCACGCCATAATGCACAATGGGTGGTTAACAATCTGAAATTTAAAAAAAAAGTCTCTAGTCCTAGTGAAATTCTCAAATGACAGAATTCAGTGGTGACTTTTAGTTATGTAAGCAATAATTTTTACCTAGATCAATCAAAATCCAAGTAGTTAAACGAATAACGACACAAACTAACGAACAGTTTCGGTGAAAATGGAAATGTTCAGTAATTATGAAATTTTTTTTTGAACGGAACGAAGGTTCAAGACGATAAGCAGATCTTGCATTATTTTCTTGTATTACACGTTCACTTTTAAAAATTTGTTTTTATTTCTTGAACGAATCAACAAAAAACCTACACAACAGAACCAACTAATGCAGCCGATCGTAAACCCGTTCGAAAACCATTTCTCACAAACATAACTATACCATAATCCCATTTCCTTCGCTGAAAGGAAATTACATAATCGAGTAGATCTGCTGATCGCTCACGATAATATTAAGCGTTCACTGTTCAGCAAATTTAAACAAGTAAAAAAAAAGAAATTTCCTCGTAACTGTTCCAGTTTGTTGCAATACTACGAAAGATGTGGTTGCTGAAGTTTTTCGGTTTGGGATTCTTCTTGTAAAACGAAAATCGAACAGAAAAACGATGAAGTGGACACGGTGAGATGCATTAACTCATTCTTTTAGGCGTCGACTCCGATCTCAACTTGAACTCTTGACGTCATCAATTTGAAAACTTCTATTTTGATTTGCAGAAAAAAAAACAAATAATTCGAAAATAATGATGATTTCGAACTGAAAGGATGACAAATTTAGTAAAACTGAGTACTTACTAAGGCATCGCGTCTACTAAGATATGTTCGACCGGTACTGTACATTTCATAACGCTCTTTTGTGGCCGCATAGCCACTTAAACCACCTACCATTGCACCAGCCATAAACGCGAAACGAGTCATTTTCAGTGTTACATCACTTTCCATATGAACATCTTCAAGTTGATCGCTTGCTAGATTGAATCATTTCCAGTGAAATATTTGAATACGTAAAAAATACGATTGCTTTGTCACTGTTTTAAAGTGTGCTTCTTCAGTGAGAAAAATGAAAGTTTCGTGGTTCACTAATACCGATTACAAAAAAGGAAAGCAGCAAGATGAGTGGATGAAAACGATTCGTAAACTAGATCATTTCATTGCAATTAAGCAAACAACAAACCACCATCAGTGTAGATGGCTTTCACTCGATCCCATCCGCTTTGTGGATGATCACTTGTTTCTTGTTGTTCAGTGCATACTGATGAGGAAGATACCGCTACGTCGATACCTGTTAAAATGTTACTACTGTTACAGTCTGATTTGAACAAAGTGAACTAATTAAACTCAGTGTAATTGTACAAAGTGTTTAATGGTAACAATAATGAAAACAATAACGAAACGGCTCAATCTGAATTGCATCATTACTATGGTGACCGGAAATGACAAATTCGGTGATTTAAAAAAAAAAAACAAGCAAACCCTCTGCGGACTTTGTCACAGCTGTTGTCGCTGTTGAACTGAGTGCATGCTTACTGGATAACCATCCCAAACTGATTGTTTCAAGCCAACCTCTATTCGTTTTGTTCTCCGTCGTTACTACCGCTGTCGTATGGTTTTCCTCCCCACATTCATTTGGCATTACTGAAAAAAAAAACCGTTAAAGATTCAAATAGTTTTAGTTCTCTTGCAAATTTGGATTTTTTTGTAGCAACCTTAACCGCACTACTACACTTTCCTCTAAATTACGAAAACAACAAGAAGATTTTATGGAAGAGACGGTTTTAATTGTACAGGTAATCAGCGTTATGAATTGATACCAAATCTCTCAAATTCGGATCATTCACGGATTGAGGCGTGGATACTTCGCCAAATTCACACACTCTGCAAGTGAAGATAAAGTGAGCATAGATTTGTACTCAGATTCAAAGTCAGTGTTGAGTGAGTTCAGGGATATGAACAAACACTAACAAGAACTGAAAGCAAATTCTCAATTTGAATAGGAGAATCTGAGCCGTATTTACGACTGACAATAAAACAGATCGGAATTCACTCTGTTTTGTAGAACGTTGAACAGTGTGACTAAGCGCATATTTGAGTTCACTGATTTGCAGTGTTCTTGTAATGAAAAGCGGAAGAAGGCGATCGCTATGCAGTGTGATTTATCTTCAGAGAACAGCTAAATCTCCGGAAATATAAATTGTTCATGAGCAACATATATTGATACTGTGCATGTATATTTCATTCATTGAGCAAAAACTCCTGCATTTGTGAAACTAATCAAAAAACAAGAAATTGTACAGTCATTGTTCAAACCTGAACGTGTACTATATCTTAATATGGTGTTGCCATTGTGAGGAAATTCCCCAATCAGTACAGTGCGTGAGACTAATCAATTCCCGTCATTGACATAAGCACTTTTATCATGGCTCATGGCCTACTCAACATGAACGTTTTGAGAAATCTGAGTGTCCCATCATCGAAATGTATGTTTACATGCCGTATGTTATCCGTTCAAAAAAAAAACGGGCAGTCCAATAAATAGACAGCTGAAGTTTGAGAATGCAGTGAAATCAACGAGAAAACAACCCGCTCCGGATATGCTTCTTGGGATCCTGGGAAACAACTTTTAGGTCTAAAATTTTTCGCTTCAGTTCATTCGAGGCTCCTCGATAACTGCTATTGATTGGTCATTGGTCAGCCTTTAATCGTAACTATGTTGTTTGCTTGTTTGTTTGTTGTTTGCTTGTTTGTTTGTTGTTTGCTTGTTTTGTTGGCGATCATTTATTGCTCTGATATGATTTTTCAGTTAAGTGGAGGAAACAGCACAGCTAACAAGTTGAAATCTTCTTGCTCTGGAAATTTTATGTGTGTGATGCGAAAAATTCACTCGAGACCATTGAGCATTAAGCACTGAGCCTACTATGAAATAGAAAAAAAACTTCTTATCATACTCACCTCTTATAAGAAGACACAAGAAACTAATATGAATTAATAACTAAAGTAAGCAAAACTAACACCTGTTCAAATAATTTGCATCAACAATAACACTGAATGGAAAGATCATATGGAATGGAAAGAGCGTCACTTTACTAAAGCTACAAGTACTGCTAGAATAACACGAAAAAGTCACAATAAAAAGAAAATAGGTGAGAAGCGAAAGAATTTCTGAGAGGTGGCATCTATTTTGGTTGCTCTTATTTCACTAGTACTATAAGATTTCTGTGGAGTTAAGTTGTTGTTGGTGTGTGTGTGCGTGATTATTGTTTTGTTGTGATTACTGTTATTGCTGTTTTTGATATTGATGAAATAAAAATTTGGAAAATGGAATCCACAAAGTGCATCACGGAATGGTTCGAAGGAATGAAGAGCACAGATGGTAAATAACACATAGCAGCGTTGTTGTGAAAGGAGGAATGATAACGAAACATTCGATTAGCTATAACAGAAAGGTAGTTGAAGGTAGCTCAGAGCTTAGCTCTAATAGCAACTGAACTTGAGCTAGAATAAGAAAGGAACAAGAAAAAGTTTTAATGTATCTTTCTATCTATCAATATCATCAACATCGAAAGTCAGGTACTCTTATTCCATTACCACCACGCCACTGTTCTGTTTGAATAGCATCAGTTCATTTGTTTGAAACGAAACGAGGGGGAGTAGGAGCTGTTTTGTTGAACGAACGGACACCAACGGCTAACCGACCGATTACTTACTATTAACGATAACAATAACATTCATCATCAGCAGCTTCATCATCGAGGTGAGTGAGTGAGGGAGTGTGAATCAGTTAAGAGTTAAGAGCTTGAGCTTCTTCTTTTATTACGAGCGGTTGCGATAGACAGACAGCACCACGAGTATCGCACACCAACATTTTTGAAGCGAACGATCATATGAACGAACAAACCAATAAATGACGATTCAAGCAACACTCGTGATTGGTCTTCATCGCAGTAGTAGTCAAGTTCAGACTTGAGCTGGAGCTTAACCACTCTACTGCTAATATCCTCCTTCATCTATGTCAATAAAATTCTACTCCTGATTCATTCCAAATCTTTTAGGGTCATTTAGAAGTAGTGAGCGTTAGCGATTAACTACTTCTCTACTTGAATAGAGCTTCAATCGCGGTTCACTTGCCGAATTGATACTGCCTTCTGGAGACAGCGAATGCGACAATCTTTCTGCACTTTTTTGTACTTTATGATAATGTCACCTGATCTATCCATCGTTCCATCCTTATCATTAATCGTTTGATTTGTTGCTCAGATTCCGCTTACGTTGGAGTCGCTAAGATCGAATCTAACCGCTGAAATTGAGGCAATGGGTGATTATAGCCTCACTCGAGCTCGCTCAGCTGTTGTACTACGCTCTCGTTCAATCGAAAGACCGTCGACACTTCTTGTAAGTTTCATCTTTTTAACATCAAAAATTGCAATTTCTTAATGCTATTTACTCCTTCTTGTTCGATCACACTCACAAATGTTCGCTCAACTTATCCTCACTTCAATTGTTCTCGGTTGAGAAGGTGAATTTTAACAAAATTTATCGCTCAAATTCGGTCTGAAAGTAGATAAAGTATCGTTTTTTTTTGTTACAGATCACTCGTACGAGATCGGTACCCGATTTGACACGATATGTGAGCACGAGTTATAAGTATAGACCACATTGGCCGTATCGTTATTACCGAGACTATGACCTTGTAAGAGTATTCTTTCAGTGTTACCAATATTCCGTTCAGCTTATTTATTGTTTCGAAATAATTTAAGGATTCAGATTCATATGATCTCATAAATATGTATATATCATGATTCGCAGTTTAGGTTGAGTTCCCTTGCCATGATATGATTTGATAAGCTGCGATACATGTAAAGTAAGAATTCAAAACTGGTGTGAACAATGTTTTTGTTTATACGTTGTTTCGTTGAAACTGGGCGTTACTGACGATGTTGCTGTCAGCTGATGAATAGAAAAAGCTTTGAGTAAAAACTTCGAGCAACGAAGCGAGCTTAATTGATGCTGTTTATTGTTGTTTCAATAATGAATTCCCGTCTCATTCACATCGAACTGCACTAAACAGCATTTCAAAAAAATTTTGAATCTACAAATCAAATGAATGACAAGTGCATTTCAGTACGATGACTACTGGTATGATCGATACTACTACTTCAGTCCACTCTATAAAAGCTCGCTTTTCCCTCGTAGATATTACTACAGCGATTATCTTCCGAATCCGTATTACTGGAGTTGGCCATCTCATTACTGGACCAGATATAAAGGATATTGGTAGATGCTTTTTTCAACGATCGAAGATTATCTTGAGTGACCTTTACGTTCGCCGCAAACTAGTGAACATTCAGATTACAACAAACGTGCAAACGCTCTAATGCAATAAACTGCTGTCATTCAATGCTGTGCAATATTTGCTTGCTATAGTTTGATTTACTTGTTCCAATGAAACAGTAACACATATGAAAAAAAAAATTAAATATTTGAATAATTATGTGCTTCTCAACTGAGTTGATCGATACACCACATAATCATATACGATTTTATTTATACTTGGTCACATTTTTTCAGGTATGATTATGACTACCCCACTTATTATTATCGCAGATACTATGATCCATCGTACGATTCATATTTCCGTTCCATCTATACGCCATATCGTTACAACGCATTTGATTCGTGGTACACATCGTTGAATCGAGGTCTATCGATGTATCGTCAAGGATTGGTGCCATATTCGACGGTTGATCGTTACTGGCTTACGCCTTCCTACTGGGATCGACGTTTCAGGGTTTGTTTCATCACATCCAGTCAACGATAATTGACTCATTTGTGTCCTGTCAAATCGTACTTTCAACGATCTCCAAACAACGACCAACCAACCGTTCGTTTACACTCTTTTGTGCTCAACCAGCCAGCGAATTGCTCGAAATATCTGATTATTTAGGATGATAATGGGAGAGCAAAATTCACAAATCTTCAACCATATCAATACTTTCCACTCCGTTCCTTGTAAAATAGGTAAAGTTGTTGTTGTTGGTGGTGTTCCAAGAATTGCAAACAGTAATTGCCTTATCGCTTTCTTCCTTCTTAAGAGAATCCTGCACTTTTCTCGCAGTTCTTCGCTTATCGACTGATAAAATTCCATGCAGTCAATGGTTAACGCAAAAATCAATCTCATCGCGTAATATGGCTTGTTTGACCTGTCTAATTATTTTAACATACAGAAAAATTTTCGATGAAACTTCACGAATAAAATTGCGCCACCTAACTCACCACGAACGCTTTGCTCAGTTAACTTGTTTACACTCTACTGATCTTGGCTTTTGAAGTATTGGTACTATTAGGACTGGCGTCAGATGCACTCGGGTGAGACGACGAAAGAACGCGATTATACGCCAACCAAAGTCGCAGAAGAAAGCGGTCGACAATATGTGGCCAGCTGGAAATCGTGACTCTCATAAATCAAACCAAAAAAATGCGCATAGAATTTATATCGATATTATAATTATCATTATTATAATCATCACTAATCAACTGCTTTTATCCGCAAATAACAAAATGCCAATCAAAAATTTTTCTCAACTAGAAACGATATATGTCAAAGCCATATATTGCTGTGTAAAATAATGCTGCCAATTCATTTCTTGTTTTTTCTTATATTTTATTGTTCAAATAAAATATATTGCCATTATGGTTTGCTTCACAATTAGTTTATCATCAGTCTACAATCTTCAAAAATGATAATCGCTTCTGTTTACATTACCAATTACATGAACCATCCGATTGCTATCCGTTGATAGGTATGCTAAGAAGTAGTGATGGTAACCGATCGAACTTTAGTCGGTAAAATCTGACGTATTTCAGTCGGATTCCGACCGAAGAATTGCAAAATCCGGTCAACATACCGAACTTCGGAACCACAAAACCAAAATTCGAGCGAATTCCGACCATATCGAAATTCCGTTCGATCGCCATCACTAAAGTGCAGCTCGTTCATCAGAGTTGAAGGGATGCACCACAGAACACGTACTTTTGCGTTCTAGACATAATGATACATTAGAGTCTACTAGACAAGAACGCAACAAGCGCGCCGCGCCATAAGACTCGTTTTTCATTACACCTTTATCAACTATGTTGCTCTCAACTACGTATTGCATCCAATGAAACACTTTTACGCAGTGCGATAAAATTAAGTGTGAAGAAACTGCGAATCCATTGTTACATGGAGATGTTGGGAGGGAGAAGGGGTGGGGGAGAAGGGCATTGGGCAATGATTGTGTCGTGATATCTCCATCGTGGAACCATTCAACGAAAACAGTTTCAACAAAAATTTTTTCTCCTCTCGATGTGCTCTTCTGAAAAGAAGACGAAAATTTGATTGAATCACAGTGTACTCCCTCCCGGTTACGGATTTAGATAACAAGTTGCTACGGTTTGAGAACCTTATAGTTAGAATGTCACTTGTTCAAATTTCATTGGAGGAATTTTTGGTTCACTTATGCAGCAATTATTTGCGAATATAATTATATCTCGCTTTGAATCCTCAACTATGTCCTAGTTAGCGCCGGGATGAAATAGATCAGCGAGTAATGCCGCTCCACCCGTATGAACATCACTGTTTATCGCAAAGAACAACATTTTCATTCCAGAAGTAAAATTTTCAAAATTCCATCTACATTTATGGAAGCAAATGTTCACAGTTGTCGGTGAATCCTCGCGGAGAGTTCATTCTTCCTGTCGGGGAATGAATTGGTCAGGAAGGGATCCCGACAGGGACCCCGCCGCGTTGATGTTGCGCTTTAGCCAAAGATTTACATCACAGAAGTCGCAACAAAGAATGTATCAACAGTGCCAGCAAGTTTGCTATGGTTGAAAGCCACATTTGCTCGTTAAGATCATCATGCTGAGAGAAAAGCGACTACTGAATTATATATCACGATATTCTGATGAAGTGTTGATAAGTGTTTTGAATCGTTGAAGTAGTTTTTACAAAAATGAAAAATATATCGCTAAAATGCTTGATTCTGAATAGCTGCAGACTTTTTCATCGTGTTTGTTCATAGACTTTTTGAGCAAATTTGGACCGCTGGAACGGACGAATCTTTCAGTTTATCATATTTCGAAATTTTCAGTAAATTTCGAAAATTATCGAATTTCGGTGGATTCCGAAAATTTTCAAATTCCTCACGTCAGTCATGTGTAGACACCGACTGACGTGAGGAATTTCGAAGTTCGGTCGAAATGCCGAATTTCGGAATCTTAAAGAGTCGATTCGGTCGAATTCTGGTCGATCAAAAATTTCATTCGGTTGCTAGCACTACAATGAAGCATCGCTTTCACTGTAATTGATATTGTTGAACCACACCCAACGAAGATTTCTTGTGGTAAATCCATGAGCTGGTAGTTAACTCATTTATCTGGTGAGTAAGGGATCGCAATTTCTGCTGACACGTCTTGTTAACAACTTGGAGGAATTGAACTGTGTACCAGTTAATTGAGAACCGATTTTCGGCTCTATCTTAAGCTGAATTCGAACACTTTTTAAAATCCAACTTGTCTCCTTTACTTTCGATAGTTAAATGATCAAAAAGTTGTTATTCGAAAAGAATCTAAAATAACGAATCAATGGAATGAAGTGAAATTTTTGTTCATTTGATGTGCTCATTAACTGAATGAAATGTTGTTGGTCTTCTTAGATTATTCAAATACCTATAAATAAACATATCAATTTATGATGTGCCCAAAAATTGGGAACCTTCGCTGAACTGAAATGGCACTATGATAACAATGAGTCATGTGTGTTCAGCGAGGTTTTTGTTGTTTTCAAACGAAAATATTTTAGAGAACGGTTCCTATTTTCGAGATTAGCGAATAATTTTTGCTGTTTGATTTTGTTATGAACATTGAATGTACTGTACTATGTTGCATTAGCGATTAGTTTCCAATTCAGTGCATCAATTCAATAAGAGTCGACGAATTGACTGACGATAACATCGATGGAATGAATTCCTTTACCGCATTCAAAACATCTCATTAAATTATAAATTTGTTTACCTTTACACCGACCGCTCATTCATTCACTCAACTAATTCTTATTTTTCACACTTCCTTAAGAACTCGTCAAATTTTCGAAGGAAAGTTTCATCGTTGTTGTTATTGAATTGAGAGAGAGAGAGGGAAACGTTTGGTATATGACATTACCATTTCTAATGTGATTTCTTCGAAGAAAGTTCAATTCCAATTCAACAATTCCATAGTGAACAAAGAATGTCATTCCATCAATCCCTTTCATCTCAGGTTCTTGATGCACATCTATCTAATATCTACTCTAAACCTTTTTATGAACTTGTGATGATAACAACAATCAATATCATTACATAAAAGTCGACGAATGTTTTACACTTCAATGTTGCAAACAAACAATTTTTGCGGCATGACGACGAGGATTCAAGTGAAATTTAGAGAGTAATCGAACCGTCTGCGAAGAGTCTTCTTAGAACTTGCGTAGTCTTCGAAATAAGAATTGTCATTCATTGTTCTTCATCGCATCACCAACGGCAGCAAACTATCCCTCCACCTCATGTTGATGGAATGCAACATCATCGAATAACTGAAATGAATCAATGACTGAATGAGTGATGGAATGCAAGTTCATTAAATCATGGTGACGATGACGACCGTTCAGCTAATTAAGATGTTGTTTGGGTCAATTCAATTAATCAACGGGTTGATCAGTTAACTGTCGGTGTTGTTGTTGTTGTTGTTTAGACACTCAATAAACAAACAAAAAGGAAAACAAATCGTTCAATGAAAAACGAGAATCTTTGAAAAATTACAGTGGAATAGATGTCGTTGAATGTTTTGTTTATATTTGAATGGTTCCGTTCGATTGTCATTTAATGAGTGATAGTCGGAACAGCAACGCGACGAGACGAGTATCTGCGAACCGGTAGACTGACTAGCCAGCTCTCGAAAACGGCTTGTTTTTATTGATATGGTCGTGCTATTATTATAATATCCTCGTCATCAACTCTCTTCAAAGTATGATAAATAAGTAATGGATGATTGAGTGGTGAATGGTGATTAGTGCATCATAATTCATTAGAAGAAGCCAAGAATAACATGAATTCTAACGCCTTTTTGACAAAACAACTCTCTTGTTTCTCCATCTCCTTTCTCTCTCTTCTCGACTACCTACAACACTTCAACGAAAACGAATCCAACCAAATCGAGTAGTTAAATACACAGAATATCAAAATACATTATTCAACGAAAAAACATTTGACAGTATAAAAACACGAAGAATGCATCATCAGCATCATTACAATTACCGTTATTATCATTATTGCCACCATTATCACGGAAACGCCATATCACTTATTATGTATACTTATAATAAACTAGTCATTAATGAACTTAATTCGTCCACCAACTCAAACAAAGCGTATTGGATTTGTTTCGTTATCCGATGACGAGAAAGATAGATGTAACACCAATTGTACGCAGTTGTTTCATATTCAGTCATGAATATTCACTCAGTATAAGAAATTTATTCATTTCATTCTGTTCTCTTACGAATTGTGTCTATGGCGCAGATACAACCGAATGACTTGAACATAGGATGTTGTAGGTTCATAGATAGTGAGTGTAAATAAAAGATTTCTGAAATACACCCTCCTTATGCAGCATCACTAATGTGTTTATTAGGATGGGAGGGGGTTTGAGGTTCATTTAATGGACAAGTTGGTATATAAGCAGTCAGGTTTTTCATCTTTCACTTTCCGTTCTTCGCTTAGTCAGCCAGTCCTTTTGATTGCTGTCCATCCTCTTCTTAACAGTTACTTTTTTACTGTTTACTATCATTATCGTTATCGTCATCTATCTCCTCCCCTCCCACGAATCACGTGAATTCTTAAAATGATCAAAATAATAACTGTTGACTATAAAACTCACCATTTCACAAACTTACGGTCAGAAATCGAATTGTTTTCAACTGACTTCAATCTAGTCATCCATCCATCCTAACCTTTTTGTTTTGAAATCATTTAAAATCGTGTTTGTTATTTTCACAAATTGTTTCTCGTTAGTTGCTCGATAACTGACTGATCAACAGTTAATATCGCATTCCATTATTTCTCAGCAGAACGAAGACCGCTACTCATTCAAAAATTATGACTATTGGGCACAGTGCTACTGCTAGTGCTGGTATCTTGCTTCTTGTGGCAGTTTCAATCGTTCAGCAGGGTCACCACGTTAATGCTACTCCAGGTAAATCAAGACATACTTTCATTATAGTCACTTTAAACTTTACGTTGTCAAGACATTCTCCTTCAATACCTATCTATTATCGAATTGCACTTGCGATCATTCTCTTCCCTTATGAAACAATTATTCCACCTCTGTCAACTTCTCTAAAGGACCTGCGGTTGTCGACGAAACGTCACGATGGACTCAATGTCGACTCTCGAATCAATCCATTTATGATTTCCAAGTTCAACAACTGGACGGCAAATTTACCGATCTTAGCAAGTATCGTGGCCAAGTGCTTCTGATCATCAACGTTGCAACATTTTGTGGTATATTTTCATTGGTTTATTTTACCTCATCTTTAATAGTTATATTTGGATCGAAGCTTATGAAACTATTTCGATAATCGTCTTGAAAAGTTGAAATTCGCATAATTCTTCCATTTAGCTAACATCGCTTGTCTTCTTTTCGAGAGCGCAATGATTAACGACAATATTTCCATTCGTTAACCTTTGTGTCTTCTAAGCAATTGCTCAATCGCAAATTCATCAAAACTTTGTGAATCCTGTTGGCTTTCATTGAGATGCTTCGAGAAAGTTTCAAACGATTCTGTTGAAAATGAATAATGATCAATGCAGAAAGAAAATGATATGATATGATTTGATTATCGTTAGCTGGAATTCACTTTTTTATCCACCATGATATGACAAGCATGAGCGGTTTTTATGGCAATTATTATTTTCGATCGATCTCTTTATTTTTGCTCTTATTATCATTACCAATTCTTTTCCGGTTCAATTCATTGCACCATCCGCCCTCTAATTCCCTCGTACGTTCATCATTTCAAATCGAACGAATGAATGAGTTTTGTAGTTTAATCGCATAGTTTCCTAGTGAAACTGATCGAACAAAAGTGCTACTGCTTCCAAATAGTGAAATTCTAATCGTCATACTCGGCACTACTCCATCAAATCACTTATACTGCTGGAATGAAATAGATCATTGTCATATCAAATTAAATTCCGGTTCTAATTGAACCACTAATGAATGAAGCACGTACAATAACCGAAACAAACACAACACCAACAACAACAACAACAGAAAAAATACTAATAACATTCAATCCTATCTCGTCAATAATTGCGGCAATTTAATTTCAAAGTTCTTTCAGTATTGTTCATTCAAATTACACAGATGGTTGCGGAAAAGGCAAATTAGCTAAAGACTTTTACAGAACAATATGTCTGTCTAACTATACTTTCAGTTACATATGCATATGTAGTCATCTTCAATGAATACGATAAATTTCCGAAAGGGATTCCAATTGGAACACTCAATATTTTATGTCAAAACTCGAATAGTCACATCAAACCGAATCAATCAAATCCCAACATGAGAATACTCCTTGTTCGAACATTCTTATCACTTGATAAGTAATTTATAGCGTTCACACAGCAATATCTCGACTTCAATCCACTTATCGAGCAAAACAAACGAACGACATTCAAAATTTTGGCTTTTCCATGCAATCAGTTTGCGTTGCAAGAGCCATCTGAAAATCATGAGCTGCTCAATGGCATCCGATATGTGCGACCCGGGAATGGCTGGAAGCCACACTCAAATTTACATATTTTTGGAAAATTGCAAGTGAACGGTGAGAACAATCATCCACTCTACGAATTCGTTAAGGTCAGTGCCATGCTTCGATCGCTTATCAAAATTTCGTTTTGTAGAAGAACTTTTGCTGGTTGGAGTAAACGACTGAACAATCAATAATAATTGCAATCATTTCATTGACCTAGCAAGCACCTTAAATCTAGATGAATCGATGAGCATCATATCTCGCACATCTATTTATGTTATCCAGGATCAGTGTCCACAAACGGTGAATCGAATCGGAAAACGTGACGAACTAATGTATGATCCGATCCGACCGAGCGATATCACGTGGAATTTCGAGAAATTCTTAGTGGATCGTCAGGGCAAAGTTCGATTCAGGTTCCATCCAACCGCGTGGAGTCATGGCGATGTTGTACAACCATTCATCCAACAACTCGCCAACGAACGAGCTCGTGCATGATCTTATCTATATTCATTTACTATATTTATTATCCTTATCGTTATCATTATTAATCGTATATCTGTCCACTTAATTCAGCAACTTCTTTCACTGATCAATTTCTATCGATCAAATTAAAACCAACCTAGTCATTCAGATTCACTCAATTATGCTAGTATTTGAACTTTTGCTCGTAATCAAACGAATATTTGTTGTAATAATAAGAACGACAGTACCATGACAACAACAATAATAGTAGTAGTAATAATAATAATAATAATAATAATAATAATAATGATAATAATAATAACTTTGTATTGAATATAATTTAAAGTTTTGACACCAAGAAGTGTCTTCAAGAGATGTTGTGGTGTTGTTAAATTCAGCTGTTAACTTCAATCATCAAAATAACTGTTCTTACAAACTTTTCATTTTCCTTGATTAAGTTGTTTCCAATAGAAGTGTAAATATGAGATGAACTATGTTGTATGTGCACATAATGTTTTATTGATCTTCAAAAGTGACATTAATAAATCAGTTTCTTCATAAAATAATTAAACACCAACGCCAAGCCACTCAATTATGCGAATGAATGAATATCTTACCGTTATTGTTTGCAAAACATCGATATTCTCAATACCGAGATCGGTATTAATGCTGCTATCGTTTTTCAATATCAATGCGATACCGGTATTGAAAATCATCTTTTGAAATTTAGAAATGTGACTTGTTCAACAAATTCTTTTTGAGGTAATGTGTTCATAATTCGAGATAATTCGGAAAACAATTTATTTAACAAATCACCTACCAAAGCTCAAGAAATTCAACAGAAATGCAACAAAAAATTCAACAAAAAAACACAAAAAGTATTGTGAAGATGGTCTCACTAAGCTTCCTCTCACTCAATGCTCCAGTCATGATGAATGTACTACCAAATTCACTTAAAATGACTTGTGGTATGAATACCGGAAATACCGTGAATATCGACACCACGAATCATGAGATCGGTATCGCTTTTTTACTATCGTATTCAGTATTACTGTCGCGATTAGATAATCACGAAAAGGAAAAGAGTTTAAAATACGAAAAGAAAATGATTCATGAATTTACAACGTTACCAT